AAAAAAAAAAAAAAAAAAAAAAAAAGAAAGTCCTTCAATTGGGAATGCTGAGCTGGCAATCTGGTGGAGCTGTAGTGTCTTTTGTGAGATCCAGATGCCTTGAGAACCAGTCTTTGTGGGAGGGTAATACACAAACAGGTTTAACCAGTGTATTAACATCAGTAAGGCTGGCATAACCAGGGAGAGATGCACCAAAGTTCAGGTAAAGAGTCAAGTAGGGAAAAGAGATATAAAATGCATGTGTATATTATGGCTGCAACAATGCAAAAATGGTATGTTCGTAATGAGAAGGAAATAAGGACAAATGAAAACAGTTTGATGTGTCAGAAGTGGGAACGGAAATAAATTTTTTCCTTTAATTTAGAATTATGTGAAGACTGCTATAATGTTTGTGTAAAATAGAATAGTTGTTTTTTTTTTAAGGAAATCAGTGGCATTCTTTGCTCTGCCTTCTTCCTGCAGCTTGATTGCCTACACAGAACAATACATGGAATATGACCCTTTGATAACACCAGCCGAGCCATCCAACCCTTGGATCAGCGACGATGTTGCTTTGTGGGACATAGAGATGAGGTAAAAAATGTTTTAAGGTTTGGGAGTGGAATGGATGTAGACAAAAATCCATGAGATCACGAGATTACCTTACATTCTATCTTAATTTGAGTTTTTGCCTCAAGTAGCCTCCTGGCTGAGTTCTACTTACAGTTTCTACCTCCTTATAGCTTTGATTTGTGCAAAGCCACAAATCCTTTGTGGCTTCCCCCTGACCCTCTGGATATCATGATAACTGGGACAGTCCCTCATCATTCTCTAGTTCTGATTGCTGGAAGGAAAGAATTTGCTGTTCCCATTTTTTTCCTATGAGACAGCAATAACAATGGTAATAGCTGGCACATATTCCGCCTTGGCCACATCCTGCAGTAAGTGTCTGTCACTGAATTATCTTGACAGGTAAACATTACTATTCTCACCATTGAGCAGGTATGGAAACTGAGGCACAGAGGAGTTAAGGAACTTGCCCAGGTCAAGTTCTGCTAGTACGGCAGAGTTAGGGCTAGAACTCAGGCAGAGGGCTCCAGAGCCATGATTTCATTACTCTGCTCTTTTGGAGTAACTTCCAGCAGTGATTCCAGCCAGTTTCTCCTTCTGTATGAGGGAAGCGAGTGTGTTTACTTAAGAGGGGAGGAACCAAAGCCCAGAGGGACTTGGACTACTTTCAGAATTACAGAAGGAAACACACAGACAAAGCTAGTGTGATGTGCCTTCGCACCCCCTGCATTTATTTCCGTTTTCATGTCTCTGTCACTCTCACATTGTCTTTTGCTCCTTTTCTGGCTTCTTTTCCTGAAAGGGAAAACATCTTATAAAAAGTAATGAAAGTCACAGACGCTCATTCTAAAAAGTTCAAATTATCCGGATGTGCATAAAGAAGAAAATGCTCTCTTCCTCCAACCCAATTTCATCTTCCAAAAAGAACCTTTGTTTCTAGTCTGATGCTGTGGTTCCCAAAGTGGACCAGGGCGCCCTGGGCACTCTGGAGAACTCAGAGTTACCATGGAATATCCCAAATTTTTTAGGGAACAACAGTGATAGTTGACTCATGCCAGATACTGCATAAACTGCTAGCTTAAGATGGTTCTGTTTCAACATTAGAGCACATTACATCCCTTGTGATGAAACGTGTCTTTGCAAATCTGGCTTTTCGGTGCAGTCGCTCTGATAAAAAGCAAGTACTGTGCAAAAATTAACATGGAATAGGACATAGGGATGGTAAGGTCCAATCTAATTCCAAAATTTAAGAAAATGTGTAGTGCCCCATAGGTACATATTGTAGTTATTTAAGAATGAAAAAAAAAATCAATTCATGTGTCTTTCAAACAGCTGCTAAGTTGTCAGGATACAAATACATATTAAGTTGATTGGTCCTGGCCATAATAAATGACACTGTTAAGTATTTCTTTTGGCCCAGGGGCACTGTGAAAAACTTACTGAGACACTAAGGGTCCCATGAGCCCAGCGAGTTTGGGAACATCTGATTTAGTGTCTATTACTTTGGATTTTTATGCATGTATAATATTCTATCCTTTTGTATATTGGCTATTGGGCTCTGCATGTGTATACATATGTATATATGAATATAATATATTCCAATAATTTTTAAATTAACAATATGTCATGGCAGTCTTTCTGTGTAAACACATAGATCCACCTTACTCTTTTTAATAGCTACATAGTATCCCCTGGCATGGGTGAAGTAAAATTTATTTTACCAATCCCTGGGTCATAAATATTTAGGTTATATCCTCCATTTCTGCCACTAGAAACAATGATTCCAGCAACATCTTTGTACACAAATTCAGTTATTTCCTTAGTAGAAATTTTCCAGGAGTAGAATCTCTAGAAATGATATGCATATTTTAATTTTAGTTCATATGTCCAGATTCCTCTTGAGCAAAACCGTAACACATCTTTTTCATTCCCATAGCTTCAAAGTGCCCATTTCCCACCTTCTTATCATTCCAAGCATCATCAGTCTTTTTACCTCTGCAAATCCAAAAGGCTAAAATAACTCTCGTTTTACTCCTTTGTTTCTTTGTTAATATACTTGAGAACCTTTTCACGTGGCTATTAGACAGATCCTAGCAATATGTTTTGCTTTAGATACTGGGACATACAACAGTCACATTTACTTGAATTATATATTTTATCTTTTTCCTGACATATTTCTGACCCTCATTCTTTGTTCTTGTTTTTCTCTTCCCTTTTACTTTATTAATCAAATTTTATGTTAACTTTGTAAAAACTCTAGTTTCTATTCTAGTTGCATTTCCTTTTAAATGTTTTAATTAAAAACATGATCAACTTAAACAAATAAGATTGGAGTATATAAAATAAAAAGTAGAAGTTACTTTTGCCTCCTTTAAATCCTATTCTTCCCAGAGGTGTGTTAACTTGATATATTTTAAACGAACATTTTTGAACTTATATTTCTATGAACATTTAAAAAATAGCTAGCATATAGTATATATATTCTTTCTAATATTTCTGATGAGATCTAAGTAGTTTCTTCTGTTCTAAGTCAAGAACTTAACTCTTTATTTAATTCAGGATTTTTTTTCTCTCTCTTTTTTTCAACTTTGCTGTTCTTTTTTCCATTCTACCCTCACTTTTCAGGAAATCCTTTTTTAAGAATTCTGGGCCTCTGGGATGGAGTTGTTATATCTCTTGCATTTTCCCTATTATAATTTCCATCTTTTAGTCTTTTTATTCTATATTCAAAGGATACAATATCCTGAATTGCTCTTCAGAATCACTGCTTTGATTTTCAGCAGCGTCCGTTCGTGATTTTATACTTCAATGAGTTGTTCTTTTCCCACTGAGTGTTGGGCGGGTGGTTGACAGCAGCACTTTTCATTTCCAGCACTTCTTAATACTTCTTGGACTGTTCTTTTCTTAGTAGCCTGCTCTGTTCTGTTGGTGTTTATCATCTTAATCCCCCTGGAGATGTGATACAGATTTTTTTCATATTTTATATTTTTCCCATATCTCCTCTTTATTTCTGCCACTTAGTTTCATTCGGGGCTATTTATTAGAGAATCATCATCTTTGGTCATTGTTTCGTTCCTCTGGTCACTGCTCAAAGCAGATCATTCTTTTCATATGCCCAGCTATTTGGAAGACTGCTCATTTTTATAAAGGAAGGTCTTGGCTTTCAATCCTGCCATACATTAGAACCGCCTGGAAGTTTCTAAAACATATTAGTGCCTGGTCCTCACACACAGCCAATTAATTCAGAATTTCTGGCAGTTGGACAATTGGACACTGGGTTTTGTTGTTGTTGTTGTTTTGAATCTCCCCACACTCAGGGAGGTACAAAAAGTCTACAGTGCAGCCATGGCCTGGGACTCTATCAGTAGCTGGTGAGGGTGCTCTCAGTGATGGTGTGGGTCAATGGTTCTAAGCCATGCCATGCATCAGAATCACCTGGGGTGCTCATTAAAAATACACACATACTGGGGTGGCTCTGGCCATCTGCATCTTGAGCAAGCACCCCAGGCAATTCTGAGCCCACCACGGTTTAAGAACTCCTTATGTGGTTCACAGAGTTCCCTGGCAGGCTTTCCCTGAGCGGTTTACACAGGTGTAGGGCTGCACCTGAATGTATGAATGGATGGGCATAGGTCCATTGCCACAGTTCCCCTCTGGGTCCTGGGTATGTGGTCTAAGAACAGACTAAAAAATTGGGTCCTCTCTTACAGTGAGACAGGTGGCAATGGAGTCTTGGGGAGGTAGATCCCCGCCCTCCCTAGTGTGACGTCCCTGCAGCCAAGTGATCTGCTCTGTAGCTCAAGCCCTAATGGAGTTTCTGATGTCTTTGTTCCTTCACCATGATACTCCCCAACAAGTCCACTCTTCTGCTTCCGCTGATGGGTCTTAGGAGAACCCACTTGGATCTGCAGAAGCCAGTGAAAGGTGGGGAGAAAGCTAGCAAGTCTTAAAGTCTCCCTGGTTCCCAAGATGTTTTTCCTCTGCATGCTGTGCTGCCCTTTAGTTGGCAGAAGCACAATCCTCTGGCCTCAGTGTCCATCTCAGAAGCTGGCCAGGAAACAGCCCCCTTAACTTAGCAAATGCTTTCTGCCATGTGGAGCCTGTCCCATGTTCCTGAGTTGCTTCTATATGCCCCTTGTCTGATGCCCACCCACTGCCTCCACTTCCAGGCCTGCTGCCCAGGCTTCTGCTGGGGATACTCAGCTATTTCCCTCTCTGATGCCTTCACTGGAATTGTAGACTGCTCTCAATCAGCTATGTCACAAGCTCAGCCCATCTGCTTTGTGCCTTTCTGAAATTTCTCAGAGCTCTCATCTGCTGATAGGAAATTTCTTTGCCTCTACATACTATGTTTAGTTTTTTTTGCTTTGGAGTTTTTTTTTTTTTTTTAACGTAACTGAGCTCTGAGCACTTGCCTATTCCCTCCTCTTTGGCCACTTGTCCCCCAGATCCTCACATGGCTGTCTTCATTTCTCGTTCAGGTCTCACTCAGGATTGGTGTCCCTTCCTCGGAAGGGCTTTCTGCGACCACCAATCTGCAGTGACCACCCCACCCTCCAGCTGTCCTAGGACACGTCCTCCCACTGGCTCCCTTTCTAAATAGGACTTAGGATTATTTCAGCGCCTAGGCCTATCTGGCACACAGTGGGCACCGTGTGGACTGGAGGGAGGATGGATGAATAAGTCATTCTTTATTTGATCATTTCATTGGTATCTGGGAAAGGTGGAGAGGCAAGCGCATGAACCTAATTCACCATGATAAAACAAACTTCCTCTTTTGTTCTTGAAAGTCAGCAAAAAAGTATGTAATCATTTAGGAAAATGGGGTCACCTGGCCTGTTGGTTTATTCCAACCTATTCACACTTTTTCCCCAAGAAGGTGCTGCCTGCCCCTTACTGCTCATGCCCTGGTTCTACTCCTATTGTTCCAGCTTTGACTCTGAACTTCTTGCCTAACCTAAGACAGCTACAGTGTTCTGTCCACTTACAGGCAGAATCAAGTGTTCGGATACACATGAAAACGA